AATATAAAAAGAGGATCTAGGCCCTCAATGATTGACATGTGGCAAATGATGATGTCATTTATCAAAATTGCTTAGTTGGAGTTTAATTGATGAGGTGGATTCTTCAATTGATTAGGTGACATTTTTATTTAGGTATGTTTTTAAGTTATTTCCTATTTCACATGTACACAATCATTTAATAATTACCACATATTTATATATAATATTTCATGTATTAAATATCCTATCATTTCTAAAAATATTATATTTTCTATAATTTTAATTTTCTGAACTATATTTTTCGTCTGTTATTTTTTAAAATTCAGAACACTCAATTTTTTTAACGAGTATTCGATTTTTTATATCATATTTTACACACTTTTTTTTATAGCGAAATAATCATAATTATATTTAATTATTTATACACGGTTAATTAATTGTTTTTATCTCACGTTTTAATTTAATTTTCAGAAATATATTTTTTGAATGTCTTTTTAAAAAAAAATAGAAAAATCATTTTTTTATGATATGTATTTTCGAATTTAGTTTTTTTAATAATAATATTCAAAAATAATAATAATACTAATAATAATTATTTTTACAAATCATTAATAATTCAAATGAATATACCAATAAATTACTTAATCACCATACATGGATTTTTTTTTTGTGTGTAAATATTTTGCCAACTTAATGTATATGTATTAATTTAACTTTATAAACATTAATAACCAAACAAAATTTAAATTTTGAAATTTAAATTTTCGGATTCCAAATTTTGAATTTCAAATATTTTTTTACTATAAATTGTCAATCAATTCCCTAATTTTATGTCATATAATTTGATTTGTTACCTATTTAAGTTGATTGGTTTTGATTCATATGGTTAATTCATGGAAACTATCTCATCAACAATAATTGGTTAAGATTATAACATTAAATGTATATTTCCATAATAACTTACTATTTACCTTTTTATTATATAAAACCCAAGTATAAATACCCCTCATGCCAATCCATTTCACTCACTCATACTCTCCACCCGAATTTTACACTCACATAAAATCTATATATAATATAAAAAGAGGATCTATGCCCTCAATGATTGACATGTGGCAAATGATGATGTCATTTATCAAAATTGCTTAGTTGGAGTTTAATTGATGAGGTGGATTCTTCAATTGATTAGGTGACATTTTTATTTAGGTATGTTTTTAAGTTATTTCCTATTTCACATTTACACAATCATTTAATAATTACCACATATTTATATATAATATTTCATGTATTAAATATCCTATCATTTCTAAAAATATTATATTTTCTATAATTTTAATTTTCTGAACTATATTTTTCGTCTGTTATTTTTTAAAATTCAGAACACTCACTTTTTTTAACGAGTATTCGATTTTTTATATCATATTTTACACACTTTTTTTTTATAGCGAAATAATCATAATTATATTTAATTATTTATACACGGTTAATTAATTGTTTTTATCTCACGTTTTAATTTAATTTTCAGAAATATATTTTTCGAATGTCTTTTTTAAAAAAAATAGAAAAATTATTTTTTTATGATATGTATTTTCGAATTTAGTTTTTTTTAATAATAATATTCAAAAATAATAATAATAATAATACTAATAATAATTATTTTTACAAATCATTAATAATTCAAATGAATATACCAATAAATTAATTAATCACCATACATGGATTTTTTTTTGTGTGTAAATATTTTGCCAACTTAATGTATATGTATTAATTTAACTTTATAAACATTAATAACCAAACAATATTTAAATTTTGAAATTTAAATTTTCGGATTCCAAATTTTGAATTTCAAATATTTTTTTACTATAAATTGTCAATCAATTCCCTAATTTTATGTCATATAATTTGATTTGTTACCTATTTAAGTTGATTGGTT